TATATATATATATATATATATGAATAAATTGTTCTCTTCTTATCTTTTTTCTTTTTTTTTTTTCTTTATACTCTTTACTATCAACGTCATCATGTCTCTTGATCGTTTTTAAAAATGAACCGTCTTAACAAAATACGATGCCTTTTTATCCTAACCTTGCTTTATATTACTCTGACGTCTTCTTCTAATAGATCCAATTATGTAATGTAAACTGATCCAGCTTTTTCTATCTCCCTTGGAACAAAAAAAAAATATCACTCAAGTGTATGACGCTTGATTCCTTTTTTTTTTTTAATTATTTTTTCCTCGAGCAAGCAAGCTGCTGAGCAAACCCCGGCAAGATGAGGAGGAGGAGGAGGTAATACAATATACACACACGCGCACATCTGTCCTCTTCGAGGGTTTTTTTTTTCTTTCTTTCTTTTTCTTTTTCGATGAATTTAGAACGGGTCTCTTCTCGTGCACAGTCGCACCCATTGTGTGCCTCCTCGGCCCGAATCAATGTCACCATTTTATCGACGGTTTTACATGCGATAGGAGATATTGGATTTCATCGTCAACGGCAATAGGTTTATTCTCATTTTTTTTTTTTTTTTACGCTTATTATGCGACAAGGTTATACTCGATGTTTCATAAAAATGATGTAAGATATAATATCATAGTGATTAAAGGAAGAGAGAAAGAGTTTAGAGGAATCTTTCTTTTTTTCGAAATAACGGAACAAATGTGCTGATGATGATGATGATGATTGGTTGATTTTGATTAGTACATTTTGATTGGTTGATTTTGATTGATCGATTATCAGTTGCATTCTGATTGATCAATCGTTCAAAAGAGAGAATAATCGTTCGTTTTTGTTCTTCTTCGTTTAAAGTACCGGGTGACACATACAGAAAAAAGATTGCAATAATTAGGAACGTGATATTTACAAGATCCTTTCACGAATGGCAGAGAGTTAACTTGTTTTACGGGGCAAACGTGAAAGGTCCTTCGATAATCATCGATGATAGGTTAGAAAGAGTCACCGGAACAGTAGAAAATAAATTGATGTTATTACTATTACTGTCGTTTGGTGCTGCTGCTGCTGCTGCTGTTTTTTTAGTTGTCGAATTATAAGAGGAAAAAAAAAGGGGTCATGAAAATGTTTTATGGGTGTTTAAGGTAGTAGTACTTGGGGGTCGGCGTCAATGGGACCGTGACGTCGTGCCGGAATCACGCACAGTGCTCGTGACATTGTGAGAGAATAATAATATGTGTATGTGTGCGTGTTTCACGTTCGAAAAAGAAAGGAATACGATTTTCGGTGAATTTCTATTGTATTAAAAAATGTCCGGACTTTTTGATTTGACAAAAACGTGATGAACAAATAAATGAATGAAAGAAAGGAAGGAAGAAGAACACAACAGTATTTTATTTCACCTTTATAATAACTTTTAACGTAAAAGAAAAGATAACAAAAAAGAAGAAGAAGATATGTTTACGTTTTTAAAATAATTTTGAAATTTTCAATAACGAGTTAAAAAGAGAGAGAGGGAGAGAGAGAGAGAGAGAGAGAGAGAGAAGTGAGTTAAACAAGGTGCCTGATGTTACTCTTGTGTTGTAGGCCCTCGGGGCGGAGAGGGTCCCCTTGACCCCCTTTAAAAAAACCGTCCCTGAGTCTCCTCCAGTCGAAAGCACAAGCTGGTTAAAATGTAAACTCTATTTTGCTTTCTCTTTTTTCTTCCTTTTCTTTTTCGATATCCTCTTCTCCTCCTTTGTACCTCGCTTCCTCCTTGTTCTCTTTCTCTAACCACACATATGTAAGACTCGTAGTATACATGTGATGTCCTATATTATAAGACACACACACACACACACGATATGATAGAATAATAAAACATCGATAATAGGAAATAATAGAAGAAAACGTTCAGGAAACATGAAAAATCTTCAATTTTGATATTAGTCAAATGAAAATATTGTTCGTTAAAAATATTTTAATATTTATTTATTTAACACTAGATATACCAGAATGGGTCACTTTCATTGGTCAGACCATTTTAATTCAAAATGTCTACTTCACGCATATGTAACATTTGAGTTCTGTAAATAATTAAACGTTTTGTTATTTAAAAATATCTATAAATTCATTTATCTATTAAAATTATTATTGTTAAACACATTCTTATTGTTATTTTTTAAAGAGTAAATAAAGACTGGAAGTCTCAAGAAGCATTTTGTTGTATACACCAGTCATTTTGACTAGTGTGGTACTGACAATGGTGGTATATATCTAGTGTTAAAGATAGTAACTAAAAAAAAAGAAATGTTAATATTGAATAAAACTTTTTTGAAAAATATAATCGAAATATATTTGAGAACACCCTGTAAATGGTTTTGAAACCCTTTTCTCATTGTGTGTGTGTGTGTGTGTGTGTGTGTGTGTATCTACAACTACTAATACATCTATAACTATATGCGACAAAGAGACATCGATGCGACATGGGACGACGAGAAGAGAAAATCGTGAAGAGAAGTAAAAGTTAAAGGGGAGAAAATAAGGGACAATAGGGGAGGGGGGAGGGAGGGAGGAGGAGGAGGAGGGGGAAAAGCAAATAATGTGCCCTTCGACGAAAAAAACAACGAGCTTTAAGGAGGAACGTGTCGCCAAAGTTCCTTGGTATTTGTAAATATGCACATGTACGGGGAGAGAGACCTTTTAAATGGAAAAGAAGGAATTCATTCTGTGTGAGTAATTCTAATGGCATAAAATCAGTTCTTCTTGTACTCTCGCTTTAACAGAATTATCCTATGAAAAAGAAAGAGAAAGAAAGATAAAGAAAGAGAAAGAAAGAAAGAAAATGAGAGAGAGAGAGAAAGAGAGAGAAAGCAAGTAAGTAACACAAACAACGAAGACGACATATACAAGAATACATCGTGATGGTTTTGTAATAGAAATTTCTCTTCGTTTCAAATATATGTAAGTACTTACTATCTATCTACCTATCTATATATATATCTACCTACCTATCTACTAGGATTCGTCCTTCTAGAAAGGTACGTGCTAATTTAACGAACAAACCACCAATGAAAGTAGCAGTTGGTAGTAGAGGGGCTAATGGTAGAAATACAAAATTATTGGGGGGTTATTCAGAAAGTTTTTATCGATTTTATATTGACAGTAGTTTTTATATAATTTTATAGATGGTCAAAATAAAAAATTTAAGTAAATATATAAATATATATATAATTAAAATATAATAATTAATAAAAAATAAAAATTAAAAATAAATTATATTAATTAATAAAAATAAATAATTAATATGTAATAATTAATATATAAAATATATAATTAAAATATATATATATGTAATATATATGTGTATAATAATAAATATGTATAATTATAATATATATGTAATTAAATGTATTTTGTAAAAATAATATATTTAATATTAAATTTAATATTAATATATATTTAATTGAACAATTAAAATATAATATAATATTTATATAATATAATTTTCGCTATTTATTCGTATTTATTCGTCGATTAATTTACCCCCCCCCCCAATGGGAATTTATTTATAAGAATCTAATGAAAACAACAACATTTAATAATACAAACGTTTATTATAATTATCAAATAAAACAATATACTTCTATTGAATTTGAAATATGTCTTAGGTATATTTATATTTACAAATCGATAAGAGGAGAAATACTTTTTTTTTCTATCGAGCAAACCCTTTTTAATAACTAAATAATAGTAATGGATCGTAAATAAAGTCGATTTCATTTGAAAACTTTCGAATTTTACACAGCACACGAATTGAACTTTTTCTTTTCTTCTTCTTCTTCTTCTTCTTCTTCTTCTTCTTTATAACTTCCTCCCCCCCTCTCTCTCTCTCTCTTTCACACACAGATCTCATATTTCTTAGAAATGATTTTTTTTGTTTCTTTCTTCAACGTATCTGTGATTTCACCCAGAAACGTGTTAGAATTTTGTCGATTTTCTTTTATATCTTTTTATTAATCTCTTTTTTAAAGTCCGAAGTATCACGAAGAACGAAGTATGAACTTTAATAGTCGGCCAATTACGAAACTTCATTGTCGAACGAACGAATGTACAGAAGAGAGAAGAAACGAACGAGAACGAGAGAGACAGAGAGAGAAAGAGAGAAACGACGATGATGAAGGCCAGAATGTGAATACGTAGAGAGTGTCGAGTTTAAATAAAAATTCAACCTCGACTGTAAAAGAGTGGCTGTGACTTGGTTGGTGCTCTCTGACTCTCCTTTTTCTTTCCCAGCAGCAGGCACAGAGGCATCAACAGACACAACAG